ATTGAGTTGGGTAATGAGACTAAGAATTTAATATTAGATATCTAGATAATATGGCCTGACCAGCAGGATTCATATTACTGATACCTGTAGCAGTAGATATATGAAAGTAACAATAAATCCAAAAGTATGCTATTTAACAGTTTCTTGGGTTTTTAACTGTAGAAAGAATAAAATAAATACATCCTTTTTCAGGCATAGGTTTTCATGCTATGAGACTGGGTTTTGTGTTGTTTTTTGTTTGTTTTTCTAAATCAGAACCATGTAAATCTATAAATCTACATAACACATAAGTATGTGGGCTTATGTATTTCTAACATGAAATTATAGTAAAGAGTAACCCTCACCCTCCCCCATGGCTTCAGACCTAGACTAAATGTACCAATTTACAAATAGGCAACTTGGAAAGATGGCTATTAACCAAAGTGAAGTTACCTATCACTTGAGATAAGCAGAATAAACAAGCTTTATGAACTTTGCTTTGATGACTCTTTTGGAAGTCAAACAAAAGCAACAGTATTAGTTTCTAGGTGGGCTGGACTATTCTTCTGTTTATTCTGTTTATCTCCTCCAAGCTAATATACCCAATGGTTTTAAAATACCCTAAATGTTTTTTTCAAATTTGTGCAGGGCTACACTAATCACTTGCAGATAGGTATGCCTATCTGCAAATGAGCTGATTCCCCCATATGAGCTATAATATAAACATAACAATATCAGCAGAAGCAAGGAATATAACTTGCATAGAGAATTTACTAAAATGATTTAACAACAGAAAAATAAAAACTCCCAAGAAGTCTTTAATTTTTTTTTTTTGTTTTATCCAAAGTGGAACTGAATTGGAGGAAATGGGGAGGGGGACAGAAAGTAATTTCTGGTTGATCTTGCTTATCTATGAACTCAGCAGAGGCACCTGGGAACTGGGGTTTGTCTTCCAGAGATGAAAACTCCTGCTGCTGCCACCTGGAGGGAGTTTCCTCATTTGAGAGTTCCTTGTGCCCATGACATCACAGGTGCAATCCCTATCTCTATTATTATAGGTTAACTCAAGTTGAAATTTTACTTCAAAAATTATTTAAAAATCTACTAAAGTTATATATCTGGGGAAAGAAATAGCAAACCATTCCAGTTTCTTTGCCAAGAAAACCCCAAATGGGGTCATGAAGAGTCAGACATGACTGAAAAACAATCAAACCAAAAACAACACCACCCACACAAGTCATCAGAATGCTCATTTCTCTTATTTTTTATTTAGCCATTTCTGTATAATAAATATCTTATATATTTATCATGTATAAATGTACATTTATTGTTATACATAAATATATGCATATATAACATACAATAACTGTATATTTTAATGTGATATATAAATATATTTATTGTGATAAATATATTAGCAATGCCTATAATTATTTATAAATGAGTGAATACTTAGAGTTTTTAATGTAGGCATAATCCAGTACTTAAGCAGATTTGTGATCTCATCATTTTCCTGCTAGTAAGTCACAGCTTATCCATGTCTGCCTGATCTATGCAATGCCCCTTCATGATGTCATTTTTTTCATTGTTTTATGGGTTACCACAGTCAGAGAATTACCAACAAGTGACCAGACTACTGATGAGAGGCTTCTCTATCATCAGCAAGATGGGGGTCCTGTTTCTGGTTGCTTACTCAAAAGTATTCCCAGCACCATAGACCTTGCCAAAGCTTATACTTCTCATATGTCACAGAAACATAGCCACACCATTATCAGATATAGGATCAGAACTTTGAGAAGGAAAATAGGCATATTTAATTGAAATGATCACTATAGGGATGTGTATGTGTACATACATTTTAGGTGACTATACTACATAATCTGTATATCTGACTGATGAACCTAGACATACACCTCACACACCCACACACACACACCCTCATATACTCTTTGATCCAGTGACACTGGCCTACTTGTTGTTCCTGGAACAGAATACATCTCTAAGACTTCAAGCGTTTTCACTGCCCATCCCTAATGCCTGGAATGCTTTCTCTCCTCACCTCTGCCTCCTGGTTACCTTCAAGTACCAGCTAAAATCCTACTTTTTTTTTTTTAGGTAATTGAGTTAAAGTGACTTGCCCAGCGTTATACAGGTAGTAAGTGTCTGGTCTGAGATTGGATTTGAACTCAGGTCCTCCTGACTCCAGGGCTGGTGCTCTATCCGCCATGCCACCTAGCTGCCCCTAAAATCCTACTTTCTTCTGGAAGCCATTCTTAAGCTCTCCTCATTTTAGTGCCTTCTTCCTGCTGATTTTTTTTCATATTGATCCCACATATAGCTTGTCTATACATAATGGTTTTTTTGGGGGTTTTTTTGTTTTTACGGTTAGGCAATGGCGTTAAGTGACTTGCCAGGGTCACACAGCTAGTAAGTGTTATGCGTCTGAGGCCGGATTTGAACTCAGGTCCTCCTGAATCTAGGGCTGGTGCTCTATCCACTGCATCACCTAGCTGCCCCTGTCTATACATAATGTTTATACACTCTGTCCTCCATTAGATGTGAACTCCTAAAGGACAGGGACTGTCTTTTACCTTTCTTTGCAACCTCAGGATTTAGCACAGTGTTGGCACATGTTGTCATTGTTCTGTCACTTTCAGTTATGTACAGCTCTCCATGATCCTATTTGATTCCCCAACTGGGTGGCTAGGTAGCACAATGGATAGAGTGCTGGTTCTGGAGTCAGAAAGATCTGAGTTCAAATCTGACCTCAGGCACTTAATACCTGTGGTAACCGTGGGCAAGACACTTAACCATGTTTGCCTCAGTTTCCTCATCTGTAAAATAAACTAGAGAAGGAAATGGCAAACCACTCCAATATCTTTGTCAAGAAAATCCCAAATGGGGTCACAGAGAGTCAGACACAAATAGCCACAAAGAAATGTATGTGAGAAAGACCTACAGATGTTAAGTAGGCTCATTATGTCATGACTCTCAGAAACATTAATGCTCTCTCTTTTTTGGACCAAATTTGTGTTTTTATTGGTATTGGAAATTCCCAGTGGTGAAACTCCCTTCATCAATGTGGATCAGCATACACTTTGCAATGTAAAGACTTAGATTAGAGATTTGCCCAAGGTTGAAATCCAGAGTTTACTGACTTTGAAGCAAAATACTACAATAAGCTTCTTCTCTGATGTTCTTTTAATGCTAATTTGGGCTATATTAGTTGAACAAGAAGGTACAGAATGAAGGAGATGATTGCTCTGTTTTGGCCAAATCACATCTAGAGTTCTAGTGCCACTTTTTCAAAGGTGCTTTAAGAAGATGGAGCATATCCAAAGGAATATTGCTTAGGGAACTAACTCATGGAGTTTAGAGAAACAACTTTTTTTTGCACATTGTAGGTGCTTAATAAATATTTAGTGAATTTTTGTTTATCCCCGGGGACCACACAATGGGAGTGCCCTGTCTTTATAAGCTGGCACAGATGTTCTTCCTGATGCAATATGTCATGTAGACTTTGGAACATGTACAGATATTCTGTGACTGCTTTCTTTCTGTTTACTGTGTAGCAAAGAGGAACCTTTTGATTGGCTGCTAGACCAAAATTCAGGGTGCATACAAAAGACAATAACCAGCCATATCAATCCCGCTCTCTCTTTGACTGCCTTCAAATAAGGAGGATGAACTATTATAATCCTCTGTGTAGGGAAAGAAGCCTTTATCTCCTTTCTTCTTGAGCTGTGATTAATGAAAAGGCCTCTCTTTGACCCACAGTAATTTTACAGGGACTACTCCTAGCATAACTGCACATGCTCCAAAGTCCACATGGTAGATTATACTAGGCAGAGCAATTGCACATGCTCATAAGGACTGGACTTTCACTGGCCAGTATCTCATTACATTTGGATCGCATTTGGAGTGTTTCCCTTGAAAAAGAGAAGATTTAAAAGAGATAACATGTCCCCATTCTAACATTTGAGAGATTGACATGCTGAAAATGTATTCTTTGTAGCTCTAGAGAGCAGAACTAGGACCAATGGACAACAGATTTTGATTCAATTTGAAGGAGAATTTCCTAAAAGTCAGAATTGCCTAAAATAGGCAATAGGCAGCTTCATGATGACGAAGATTTCTGTCTCTGAGATGCTAAGAGATACTATTACAGACCTGACATTTCTTCCCTTCATGTACCTATGCTTTAGCTAACAGGACAATTCATTTCCCAACATTTATTGCAAATTTTCAATCTCCTTACCTTTGCTTAGACTATTCCTTATACCTTGAGTGTCTTTTTTTCTTACATCTTACTTCCCTCTTACCATCTAAATCTTACCTGTTCTTCAACATCCAATGTTAATTTTTTCAATAAGGTCTTGCATTATAACCCAGGGTAAAGAGTAATGTCTTCCTTCTCATCCTTTATTTATTACACTGTACTTTGTCTTTTATTTATTTGGGCACATGCCATTTCTTTCCTCATCAGAATGGAAGCTTCTTGAAAACAGGCATCACATTTTATTCCTCTTTGTATCCTTCTCCTTGGCTAGTACAGTCAGTAAACTGAATATCATAGATGAAGGAAGGAATAACTAATCCTTTGGACTTTTATTCAATCAAAACACATGATCAAACATAATAAGATTTTTACATTATATCAGAATTTAGTGTCAAAATGAAGAATGTTTCTATTCAAATTAATTATATATTAATGTGTTATAGGAGCACACCAGAGTTTTAATATTTTGCTGGGGAATTTGATTTAATACTGCTGTGAAATAAGCAAAAAAATAAAACTATAAATCAAGTATCACCTCTGTATCATCCCACGAATTTGGTCAAAGCCTCTCTTCTTAAATTATTAGGATTGTCTTTTTATGTCTATAAATCAAACCCATTTATTAATATCCAAATTTTGATCAAGATTGTAGCCCCAGGTTTATTTTTTTTTCTGAATGCTTTTTATTTTTAGGATGTTTTCAGATGCCTAAGTTAGAATGCTAACTCTGCTTTTTTTACAGGCTCTCGCTGGAAAGCAATGACAAACCTAGAAAAACAGCCATACTATGAAGAACAGGCTCGACTAAGCAAGCAGCACCTGGAAAAATATCCTGACTATAAGTATAAGCCCAGGCCAAAGCGAACCTGCCTTGTAGATGGAAAAAAATTGAGGATTGGTGAATATAAAGCGATTATGCGGAACAGACGTCAAGAGATGAGGCAATATTTTAATGTTGGGTATGGGTCATTCATTATTTTTTCTTCTAAATTGGGAAAAAGTTCTTATATTTGATACACTTACTCACTTGATTAGTAACAACACATCATTTTAACATAAGTAAGCAGAAAACCTAAGCACAAAGGTATTTGAAAACTGCCACCCAAGTCCCCTAGAGACAGTGAAAAAAAATTAAAATAATAATGGGCTGCATGGAGTAATGGATAGGGAGCTATCCTTGAAGTGAGGAATACCTGAGTTCAAGTCCTGCCTCTGGCATATACTGGTTATGTGACCCTGGACAAGCCTTTTAATTTCTTATGGCTTTCAGCAACACTGCATTGCAGAGAATTTTCCATCCTGGATAGTTAAGGAAGTTTACTCCCCTGGGAGCTCCCTATATCAATGGAATTACAGGTCCAGTCCTTATTCCTAATAATATATGATAATAGCAAACATTTATAGCATACTTTTTAAATTAACAAAGTATTCATTTATTAAAATAAATGAATGCATACGTAAAGTCATCAAACTCTTTAAAAGCTGAAATTTGATTGGCATTAGTTTACTTAACATTCTAAAAACAAAAGACCTTCAACTAAAATGTTTTAAATTTGTAAAAACAAGGACAAGGCACTAGATCTGTATGTCAAATTCTAAATTTTAGTAGTTTCTTTGGTTCATCAAATCAAACTCTGTTAGTTTCTTTCATTCTTTAATAAGACTGCATAATGATAATTCTTGAAAAAAGAAGTAACAGTTTGCTTGAGGTCAGCGTGCCATGAAGTTGCTTTCAGGCATAAGGAAACACTTTACTAGGTGAAGAGTGCATATTTAGATGAAAGGAAATCACAAACTGTAACATGATTCAAAGCAAACATATAGACTTTTAGAATCTTTGTATTTAGCATAAGGATTATATTCAAGGAACAGTGAAGCTGTGGGACAGGGAAGACTTCCATTCTTAATTGAGGATGTTCATTTTAGGACATTCCAATTCTGTCTCATATGCTAAGACTTTTGCGTCTAGATAAAAAGAATGGTGACCTTACAAAATGTTGCCTATAACGGTAATAGTACAATGGAATATACCATCTCATACAGTACGGAAACAATAAGTGCATACGTTTAAAACTGAGGCTTTGAGGACACTCAAACTTCTTAGAACAGTAAATCCAGGGTTTTGCATGGTCTGTATTCAAGATATAAGAAGTATTTTCACAAAGGTTCTCCTTACTGCCTCCAACACTGTGAAAAGGTACACAGCTTAATGTTTCCCAGTTCCTGGAATAATGCCAAACATGTAATAGTTGTGCATAAATGAATGAACAAGTCCAGGGTAAACTGTTGATTGTTATCTACCTTTATTGTAAATCTCCTTGTCTCTCTCATTACAGTTGCCCCCAGACTCTAATGTAGATAGCAACATTGTTTCCATTTTGGGTTCAGTTTTGGGTTCTTTCCACTTCCCCCCTTAATCACATTCATCAATCAAAATTCTATCACCTCTGTATTTGAATTTTATCATAGAGTAGATTCGAGACCTTTGTTGTCTATATAATCATAGGCTTGGAAAAAGGAGGAAAATTGCTATAAGAGAACATATAATAAGTACAGTAATATCAGCTGTTGAAAGTCAGTTGCTTGATGTCAGACACCAAGGACCAAAATATTATTGGTTTGAGATGGGTAAGTATAGCACAGCTCCTGAAGTACCCAAATTCTCTTTTTCTATTTCCAAACATAGGCAACAAGCACAGATCCCAATCGCTACTGCTGGTGTTGTATATCCTGGAGCCATTGCCATGGCAGGAATGCCCTCCCCTCATCTGCCCTCAGAGCATTCAAGTGTATCCAGCAGCCCAGAACCTGGGATGCCTGTGATCCAAAGCACTTATGGTGTGAAAGGAGAGGAGCCACATATCAAGGAAGAGATGCAGGCTGATGATATCAATGGAGAAATCTATGATGAGTACGATGAAGAAGAGGATGACCCAGATGTGGACTATGGGAGTGACAGTGAAAACCATATTGCTGGGCAAGCCAACTGATAAGAGTCAAACAATTGTGACCTTAGAGGACCTAAAGAAGCCCCAGCTGGTTCATCCTTACCAGTGGCCAAGCACATTAACTTTCTCATACACTGACTGTTATTTTAACTGTTAGTCTTAACTAGTTGGGACATCAGCTGACTAATAGACCTCAGCCTGCATCAAAAGGCTTTGGAAGGAAAAAAAATAAAACAGCAACAATATCAACAACAAGAGATTGAAATAAGCTATGGGTAAAATAATGCCAGTAATTCAGCTGCTATATCCAAGCACTGAAGTCTTACCCGTCAACTCTTTTTTTTTTTTAAATAAACTTTATGGCTGTTTGTTCTACAATGTTCTAGAAATTCTCACTCAGGTACACAGTGCCAACAAGTGGCTTGTGAATGTGTTTTGTTGTTTTGTGCTACAGTTTAAAAAAATAATAATTTTTTTTTGTTTTTGTTTTGGTAATGCACCTGACAGAAAAAAAGAAAGATAGATAAATTTCTCTTTACTCCCTTCCACTGTCTCCATCTCTATACCTTTGCATATTTTAGGGGTGGAAGTGTATGAAAGGGGAAGAGGGAAAGAGAGCCTTTTTTTTTATTTTTATTTTTCTGCCATCTGACACCCAATAGGCAATTATTTTCTTCATCAAGGACTTGGTTCATCTATTGCACACCACACTGCGTCTTTGAGCAAGTGCCAAATTTGTACTGAAGTGTTGAACTAGTTCATTTTTTTGTTTGTTTTCTGTTCTTTTTCAGTTAGGACAGTGTTATGTCTTAGACAATCCCTTAAAGAACCTAATATACCAGCAGCTGGTGAGATTTGAATTTTTTTTTTTTTTGGAAACTGTAGGTGCCGTTCTCAGGTGAAAAGAGAGAGAGAGAAAGAGAGACATAAAAAAAATTTAGAGAAAAATATTTTCTGACCTTGGATTTTTGTGTGTATGTGTGTATGTTTATGGTACTAATAAGAATAATATTGGACCATTGTGAGTAAAACCCACATCTGGGGATGAAATCCCACATCCTCTAAGTGACTGGTCTGGAAGTAACTTTGACCTTTAATTTGCACTTCAAATGGCAACTTAACTTAATCAAGTATGGGGCTCAGAAATTATGTTTTTAAACTTCTAATATTATCTTCATTGGATGGATCTGGTGGTCCTATTTAACAGAAGTGTGCATGTATAACACAGAAGCCACTAACAATACACAACCTGTTTGCAGATGCCTTTTTCCCTTTGATGATTAGTTTCACTAACCTTTGGCTATTTGAGGGTTTTGTTTTGTTTCATTTTGTTTTTCCTAAGATCCTTTGGCCTGTATGATTATGCTTCACATTGAGTAAGTCTGGCTTTTTGGCAGAAATTGAGTAAGCATTTTTCTTCAACATTCCATTCTGTTCTAACCAGGAATTGAATCTGGTGATTTTTATAAGGTGTTGTGTTGTGTTAAATTCCCCCCCCCATTTTTTCTTTGTCATGAGATAGGGTCTCTTTGTATTTCATGATAGTGAAAATAACAAATATTTTCACATAGTAGACAGCAGGATTCAATTAAAAAGCGACTACAGCCAAAGTAAATTGGTAATATCTGAGCTCCAGCCACCATTGTCTGCTGAACTTGCCTTTGCTAAAAATGTCCTCTGAAGACATTATCCTGAGGCAGGGTGTGCACATAGAGATACAACAGGTGATGATTGTTTTATTTTTTTGCTTGCCAAAGGGCCACTGAAAGTGTGAGGCCTTTGCAAATAAATGCAGACTTTCCAAGGAAATTGCCAACAATGGTCATGAAACAGGACAGTATACCAACCAGTAATTTGGATGTGCGATGTTATTCACTCCATCTTTTTACTCAACCCCGCCACTCCCTGACCTATACTCCCACCCCCTTCAATTTGGATTTATACCTCTGAATAAGAACAAAACATCCTTTTCATTTTTTCTCTCTCTCAAAAGACTTGCTCTGGGGTTCTGCTTGGAGGAGCTATTCATATCCTGCATGTCAGAGATTTTGTTTCCTTTGTTTTTCTGTTTGTATTTGATGACTGTATATTTCAGTTGAACTGCCTCTTCTTGCTAGTGTTGTGATGATGATGATGATGATGATGATGATGGTCAGCTGTTCCCAGATTAGTAAATTATGTATAATTTATTTTATTTCCCCTATTCTATTTTATTCTATTCTGAATTGGAAATACAGCCAACAAAGCTGTTAAGATATTTAAAACTAATTTCCCTTCTCCAACTTTTTACATATATAGTACAAAAAACTATATATATATATAAATATATAAAATATATATACAAAAAAACTCACTTATCCCAACATCTTTTTCCCCTCCCTTTTAAAAAATTTTGGCCTCAGCGATGTCAAGTTCTGATGTTTATTATGAAGGAGTGAATTAATGGGAGTGTTGTGTTCAATCTTAATTAACTTCTGCTCTCTCATCACTCATTTTAGTTATTTAATTACCACAGTCATCTAGAGCCAATTTTTTGTTTTGTTTTGGTTCCTTCTTTTTTTAAGCACTCTGTTTGGATAAGGAAAAACTAGACACTTGTTTTTATATCATTATTAAGTACAATGTGAAAACAGATTTTTAAAAATTTGTTCCCTGTCTTTGTGAACAAATTATTTCTGACTTATGTGGGTTCACCTCTCACGTTTGCTGGATGCTTATTTTCCACCATGTTAGAAATATGCTTTGTTTTAATTTTGTGACTTTGGGCTACAAGAATACTTTGTTTTAGCTCCAGGTAGGTGCCACCAAAATCATGGTTAGAGCCAATTGTGACACCCTTGTGAGTAAATGACAAAACTTTTCCCCCCAAGGGAGAAGGCCACATCCTCTACTCTGGGTTGTTGTTCATTGTGAACTTTAACAAAACTCAGACATAAATTTTCTTAAATTAGATGTGTGCCAGAAAGACTGAGCAAGTGTGGTCTGGAGCATAAAGCAAGCCAGCAGTCCTATATCATATTCCTCAGCTCTGCCATTTGTCTTACTGGATGGCACTTTTTCTTCCAGTATTCCCTTCTTATTTAAAAAAAAAATCACACTAATTTATAAAATGATTTAAAGTTTATAGGTTAAAGGTTATGACTATGTTAACTCATTACCTTTTCTACATTTGATTGGTTGACAATACTGGAATGTCATAAAGCCTTATTTTCCCCCTTGCTTTTGTTTGTACTCCATGGTACCCATGATAGACAAGCTGGAGGAAAAGAAGGTAGTTTTCATCTAAAATACAACAAAGGAATTAGTCTATATCTTGGTTAATCTGGCATCTCTATTCTTCGTCCCTTCCACTATTCCCCTTGTGTCCATAGACACTCCTCCCTATGGCAGCAGTTCAATGTAATACATTTGGTGAATATCTAAGAGACAAGCACTGGAGAAAGTGGATTAAAGTTCCTTATATTTAAGCTGTTAATAATTTGGCTGGTTACCTCAATGGAATAAAATATAAACCTTTTCTCAATACATTCATGCCTTAAGTTAGTCAAATAAAATTTTAAGTACATTTAGCATCTGCATTTAACAGCAATGTAATCAAGCCCCAGAAAGAACATTATTGTTCTAGTATATAATTAGTTTGGTAACCAAATCATCTTACAACAAATTAATATGAAAGAATGTCTTTCTTTCATGAAATAAATTCAAAGATTTGGCTTATGCATAAAATTTTTCTTTATTTAAATCATTATTAGAAAGTAAATTGTCTTTAACTTTTTTATATTCCACTTTCAGATTTTTTTTTTCTCAATCCAAAGATGTGAGCAGTTATTTGTCCCTGAGGAAGCCTCTCATATCACATTTTAAATAACAAAAGTAGTTACACCTTCACCCATTCTACTAGGTGAATTGTCCACTTATAAATAATTACATACTGTATTCACATATGTAGATTTATGAAATACTGGTCTACCAAGTTACTGACAAAATAAAAAGTATGGTTTTGAAAGAAAAAAAAAGTCCACTTAAAGTGGATTCCAGTAGCTCCTTATCTTATAGGGCATGGGTATGTGTTTAGCTTGGCTTCTAGAGTATTTACAATTAAAAATCTTCCTCTGTCAGTTTCACAGACTGATACCATGCTGAGTTTTCTACTGATTGATTTCTATCCTCCCCAGTGTTTCTGTCACTGGTTCACTAAAACAGTATTTATATAGCTCCACTGGCTCTAAAACTCTTAGTCCTTCTTACAGTTTGAATTTTACAAGTGAAAAGGAAAAAAAGAGAGACAGACAATCAAATGCCTGGAGCTTAAAACAAAGTATGTGCAACCTACCATCTCACTTGAAATTTAATAAGAGAAATAATTATGTAAATATAACATAGAGTTATAGATTTATATTTTGTTCATAACACATAGTGTAATATAAGTTGTATATTTTCATGTTTTTGGTTTTATGTTATCATTCATGCCACAATAAAAAGAAAATTGGAGTTTATGTACTCTTTAAAAAAAAAGATGTGGGTTGCCACCATCCTGTTTTTGTTCGTTTGTTTTTTTTTTTTTTGCATTCCCCTTTTTCAGTATTACTGCCCTAAAAGGCACCAATAAAAACAGCAAATGTGTTCTTTACCTATTACACTGTGTTTCTTTTTCCCAATTCTTATTACAGAACTGTGATCTTTAGTAACATTGTCAAAAAAACAAAACAGGGAATGGTTTTTTTTTTCAATGTAAATAATATTGTTATTGATTCTCAAACACTAAAAATACTGTGACTGAGAGGACCTGATTGTTTGTTATGGTATGTGGATATACCGGTTTATCTCTTAAAACTAATCACTTTCATTATTGCTTTTTAAAATGCAAATAAGAAAACAGGCAGTTCTGTTTTAGGAAGATCAGGTTGAAAGAACTTAGTATAAATTGAATTCTTCAAATGGAAAATGACTATTTTCTGTGAGATTTCACTACTAATATTTTGGTTTTGATCTGAGAACTGAGTGCTTAATTCTTAGAACTAGACAATATTATTAGAAGTACAGCCAAACCCCATTGTAAAGCATCTCACTATGCCACAAATTTTGATTATACTGTTGAATCAAGTAGTGTCTCTTCTTTGCCCTGCCAGTTCTTGTGCATCTCTCTTTTCCTACAAGTTATAAAGTGTTCAACATGGTTTTTATCCTGATTTCTTGATATGGATTCAATTCTGTACAGTTCCTACAAACATTAATTAAGTGCCTACCACTGCCTCTACCCAAGTTCAGGTCCTCATCAACCTTCAAATGGACTACTGTAATAACCTATTAAGTGGTCTAGTCCCATTTCAATTTATTCTTTATACTACTGCTCATGTAATCTTCCTAACACATTGTCCAATTAAAATAATTCCCCTCCTCAAAAACCTTTAGTGGTTCTACATTAGTTATGGCACATAAAATCCTAAGTCTATTGTGATCTGTAAACAACCTACCATTCAGGCTTTCACTCTCAAACACTCAAAATTCCAGTTAAACTAAATTACTCACTGTTCCATTTTCATGCCCTCAGCTTCCTTCAAGGTTCAGCTCAGGTACCACTGCCTGAAGGAAACCTTTCATGATTCCAACTCTTTGTTAATTCTGTCTTCTCCCCTAAGTTTTCATGGGGTATATTTGCCTTTTTTCATATTTTATTCCACTCAGTAGAATGTAAGCTCTTTCTGAGCAGACTGTTTTTGGTTTTTAGCTCTGTACTTCCAGTACCTAGAAAAATGTCTTACACAGAATAGGCATTTAATAAATATTTGCTGAATTAAATTTAAAGTATTCATGATATGTAGGTGCAAGGCTTTCTGAGCACTT